GAGGCCGCAGGGAGCTGGGCCTGCAGGCCCACGTCCGCCCCGGAGAGGCAGGTGCCGAGGGAGGCTGGAGGATACCCCTGCCTCGGAGGCCTGGCCTCCTCTCCTTCCCTTGGAGATGCCACGAAGAGAAACACAGTCTCTGTTGCTCTGTGCTATGTAACTTGCTGGAGTGTCCATATAAGGCCTTCCTCCTTCCCAGCCGCTGGATCCGGAAGTGACGCTTGCGAAGCTGAGAGGGAGGGAGCGTGAGGTGTCCCATCCAGGCACCCAGTGTGCAGGCACACATCCCAGGCGGCCGCCGGAAGCTTTCTTGCTGAGTGTCACGCCCCGCGCCACCCGAGTCCTTGCAGTCCATTTCCAGCCTCCCGTCCATCTATGTGCCGACCACGGCCAAGGAAGGAGGAACGCTTGAGGCCAGGATTTCTGGAGACCTGCCTGGGCAACATGGCCAGACCCAGTCTCTACTTAAAAAATAAGAAATTAAGTCGGGCTCGGTGGCTCAGCCTGTAATCCCACGCCTTTGGGAGGCTGAGGTGAGTGGATTGCCTGAGCCCGTGGGTTCGAGACCCGCCTGGGCGGCGAGACCTCATCTCTACAATAAATCAAAAAATCAGCCAGGCGTGGTAGCGTGTGCCTGTAATTCCGGCTACTCGGAAGGCTGAGGCGGAAAGATCGCCGGAGCCCAGCAGGTCGAGGCTGTGGTGGCCGGGAGCGGCCACTGCACTCCAGTCTGGGTGACAGAGTGAGACTCCAACTCAAAAAAAAAGAAAGAAATTAGCCCAGCGGGCGGTGCATGCCTGTGGTCTCAGCTGCATGGGAGGCTGCAAGGTGCTATGACCGTACCCTGCACTCTAGCCTGGGCAACACAGCAAGACTCATGTCTCAAGAAAATAAAGTCAACGAAAATTAGAGTCCTACTCTGAGCCGTGATGGTTGGATGAAGATTCTGAATCTGGGAAACGTGAATTAGTGTCCTGACTTTCACCTTGACTGTGACAGGCAGAGGAGGGGAGCAAATTGCTTGCTTCTCTGTGCCTCAGTTTCTTCCTGTGTCACACAGCGATAAGGCGCCCACTTTGTAGAGTTGTTAGGAACTAGGGTGGTCACTCCAGATAACACACTTAGAATGGCACGGGGTGTTTCACAGGCCATGACTATATCCAGACTGCCATTAGCGTTCTTGTGACTGCCGCGTGTACCTGAAGCCACAGAGGACAGATCCCAGCATTCTGCCTTCCTGACATGTCTACACCAGCAACCGAACACCAGCAGGCTGGACAAAACTGAAATGTCGCATCAGGCTTGGTCCTGGGAACCAGGACCACACGGGGTGGGTGGCGACAGCGGACAAGCGGGTGGCTGCTTCCTGCCAGAGGGGACTTTTCTGGCCTTGAAGTCATCAAGGGGGAAACAGACAGTTCTCACAAGGACCCGTCCGTGGTGTTCTCACTTGTGTCACAAGCTGGATTGTTTTGTCTGGAGGGGACGAGAAGAGCACACAGTTGACTTGGTGTGAGCTCCTAGGGCTTTTCGTTGGCAGGAGAGGGATCGCTGCAGGATTGTCCACTTTCAAGTTATTTTCTGCAGCTGTCCGTGGTGTGTGCTTGAGTGCAGATTTGTGGATGTGCATTTGTGTGCATCTGATCGGATGTGTATGGGGAGTTAGGTGGCTTTTACAATGAGCAATTGGCTGTTTGCGTAGGAGTAGTCAGCCATCACTGTACCACGGACCCCGTGCCCAGCACTGCTCTAAACCTTGGCATCCATGATCTCAGTAAGTCCTCACCCCAGACTCATTTCACAGGGGAAAAACTGAGACCCATTACTCATCATAATGCCCAGTGTCACATAATGCAAGTCTGGATTTTTTTTTCTTTTTTGAGTTGGAGTCTCGCTCTGTCGCCCAGGCTGGAGTGCAGTGGCACACTCACAGCTACCCCAGCGTTGACCTGCTGGGCTCCTGCGATCCTTCCACCTCAGCCTTCCAAGCAGCCAGAACTATAGCTGCACACCACCACACCTGGCTAATTTTTGATTTATTGTAGAGATGAAGTCTTGCCAAGTTGCCTGGGCTTTCCTCAAGCCCACGGGCACAGACAATCCACTCACCTCAGCCTCCCAGAGTGCTGGGATGACAGACCAAGCCTGGCCGCAAGTCTGGTTTTGCACCCAGGCACCCTGGGCCAGAGCTGTGCCCTCCGCCTCTGGGGTGGCATCCCCCCTTCGGTGTGCCAAGAATGACTCAGGCCATCAGGCTGGGACTGGTCTATAGGAATGGGAGAGAGAGGCCCTGCCCTGTGGACAGAGAGGCCTGGCACTGCATGGAGGCAGCACTGCCATGGCGACCCAGAGAGGGACAGGAGCGTCCACCTTGGCCCTTACACCACAGGAGCAAGGGTCAGAGAAGTCTTCCTGAGTTCACGTTGTGTAAGTTGAGTTCTGAAAGCTGAGTCAGAGCTGAGTTTTAGCGGGGGGAGCTGCCCCCTGGGGTGGAGGGCACCTCAGGAGCCTGTCTCTGATTGGACACGGTCCAGAGACGCACATACCCCCAGATGCCTCTGTCCCACCTTCATGCCCTTACAACGCTGCCCAGCGGCCCTGCCCAGGGGCTTTGGGCAAAGGCCATCTGTTGCAGCCAGGCTGCTGGCCCTGACGATCTCAGCATTGCCTTTGGGGTCACTTTTCCCTTCTTGAAGAACAGGACACATTCATTCATTCATAGCCATGTAGCTCTATCGTTCTCTCCTGTCCCATCCAAGAAGTCCGCACGGTCTTCCTGCACTTTGTCCCACCTGCATCTCCTTCAGTTCACACTGGTGTGTTGTTTCTGCCTGTAAAATCCTCAACGTCTTGTGTGCGAAATTCCAGACATACCCTTGGCCTTCACTTTCTGCCATATGGATAGACGGAGAGTTTTCCGAACCTCCGAGTTCGGGTTGGTTTCCACTTAACAAACTCCTTCTCCGGTTCCCCTCTCCCCCCTTTGCATCTTACTCTAAACAGTCAGGAGGAAGCAGATGCTTCTTCAACACTTTGCTCAGAAATCTCCTCCACTAAATATCTGATGCTGTCGCACACAGGGTCTGCTTTCCACAAAATACGAGAACACGGCGTAGCCAAGTTCTTTGCCACTTTATCACAAGGATCACTTTCCTTTCAGTTTCCAATAACACGTTCCTCATTTCCATCTGAGATCTCACCAGAATCACCCTAACGTTCCCGTTGCTAGCATGCACCTCCAAATTCATCCAGCCTCCCAGCGTTACCCGGTTCCAAAGCCATTTCCATATTTTTAGATATTTGTTACTGTGGCACCCCACTCCTGGTACTAAAGTCTGGATTCGTCAAGCATTTATTGTAAAGAATTGGCTTCCCGTGATTGTGGGCTGGCAAGTCTGAAATCTGTGGGGCAGGCTGGATAGTCAGGCAGTAGCTGATGTTGCAGTCTGAAGGGAGAATCTCTCCTTTTGCAGGAAACCTGGGTGTTTGCTCAGAGGCCTCCAGCTGATGGGATGAGCCCCACCTACATTACCGCTTGACGTCAACTCATTGTAGATGTGTGTGTGTTTCATCAGGCTGGCATCTGAATGTCTTGCTCTTTTATGGGTGTGTTCGTTTTGGTGCTGAGCCCTAGGTCTTCCCCCACCCCGAAAGTGAGGTACCAGGAGACTTGCCCATGTGGGCTCTTGTTCTGGTCTCCCTCAAGGACCTCCAGGACCACCCCAGGGGTACTTGGCCTCGCCTGCTTAGCTGCTCCCACATGTCAAGGGTCATGTGGCTTTAGACAACAGATCTGTAGGGCCCAAGTTGGAATAATTCCCTGTGAGCACTGGCTTTGATGCCACCCACCTGGTAGTGCATACATCTGTCAATAGAATTCTTTCTTTCTTTTTTTTAGTTGGAGTCTCACTCTTGTCACCCAGGCTGGAGTGCAGTGGCAGGCTCACAGCCACCGCCGCCTTGATCTGCTGGGTTTTGGTGATCCTTCTGCCTCAGCCTTCCAAGTAGCCAGAACTATAGATGCACGCTACCACGCCTGGCTAATGTGTGTGTGTGTGTGTGTGTGTGTGTGTGTGTGTGTGTGTGTGTGTGTGTGATTTATTGTAGAGATGAGGTCTCGAGTTGCCCAGGCTAGTCTCAAACCCCCGGGCGCTCAGGCAATCCTCTCGCCTCAGCCTCCCAAATTGTTGGGATGACAGGCTGAGCCACCGTGCCCAGCCGGCAGAATTCTTCCTAATGCATTGTAATCTGATGAAGAGTTTTGAATGCTTTTCTGAGGTTTCCCATCTCTCCAGTTGTGGCTAGTATCCCATCTGAATGACAAGGCTCCCTGGTGTGAGGATCAGAACCCATCGAACCGGGGGGAACACAGGTTGCGGTGTGTGGGAGGCTTCTTGGCTCCGGCCTTGTTGAATTCCCAGATGCTGCACAGATAATCTCTTCTGTGTGCCTTCTGGGCAGAAGGTCCCGGTGGCACGATAACCTTATCATCCTAAAATAGCCAGGGGCTTTGAGAGAAGCCACAGTGGTGTTTGGCAGAGTGGAAGGCTAAGAGTGGATGAGTGTCACGGCTGTCATTTTAAGAGCTATGATTGGATTCCTTCTGGTGCCAGGCCTTCAGTGATGTAAAAAGCATATATATATATATATTTGAGTTGGAGATTCACTCTGTCGTCCAGGCTGGAGTGCAGTGGCACGCTCACGGCCACCGCAGCCTTGATCTGCTGGGTTCGGGTGATCCTTTGCCTCAGCCTCCCGAGTAGCTGGAACTGCAGGTGTGCACCCCCATGCCCAGCTAATATTTTTCTTTTTTGGTAAAGGCTAGGTCTTTCTAGTTGCCCAGGCTGGCCTCGAACTCCTGGGCTCTAGCGATCCTCCCGCCTCAGCCTCCCAAAGTGCTGGGATGACAGGCCTCAGCCGCTGCGCCCAACCCCAAAAGCATATTTAAAGACCTTTGTTCTGCAGATCACACTTAATCGAATGTGACTTCCACTTTGCAGGTGGCGATCATAGCAGGCAACTTTGAGCTGGCGGAATACATTAAGAACCACAAGGAGACCGACATCGGTGAGTTCGTGCGCCGGGAAACCGTGGCCAGATTTGGTTTGGCCAAGGAGATACTGGCCGGCTTTTAAAATGTCTCCTCAGGTTGGCTTAGAGCCCACCTTTAGCAAAACTCCCCAGAGCACGCCATCCTAGCATCTCTTTCGTCTCTGGTCTTACGTTTGCTTTTTAACCTATGGAGCTAAGGACACCCTCAGACGTTAGCGCGTCTGAAATGTGCAGCCTGGTTTTCTGGAAGGATGAGGTCCTCACCCCTCCTGACAGTCCCCATCGCACTTTCTCTCCACACGAACCTTGCTGCTTTCGCAAGCGGGGAAGATGGACAAGACTGGTCTCATGTATGCCAAGAGTTGGCTGTAGGCGTCTCCATCTGATGTGAGTGTCTGGTTTTCCCCCATAGCAATACCATGGACACTTGCCCTTATAACGCTGTCCACACTCGCAGGTCGTACGAGCACTGGAGCTCAGTGTACACCGTGGACTGTGGGCGACACGGCAGGCTCATCCTTTGTGACAGATGCACCTCCCTGGAGGGGGCTGTCAAGGTGGGGAGGGGTCCGTGCATTTGCGGGGTGGGGAAGGGATGGACGCTGTTGGGAGCCCGGCACGGCTCTGAGAATACATCTTTTTTAAACATCCAAAAGAAGGGAAATTAGACGTGCAGAGGGTCTGCAGTGGATGTGGACGGCTTTTGGACTGGCGGATCAGGTGACCGCACAGCTTTCAGACTTGTTTCCCAGAAGATCCCATGACACACACACTCCGCGTGGGCAGCGCTGGCGACCTGGAGGGAGGGGAGAGAGGGGCGGGGATGCCCTCTCCCCCTGCCCCGCGGCCCCCGAGGATGTTCTGATGCCCCTCCCCCTTTCTAGTACCTCTCATGCCAACCAGGAGGCCGGCCTCCGGGGGCCGCCCTGTCTCCCACCGCCCCGCCATCGGCTGGGCGCAGTCACGCACCGTGGATGAGTCCGCCAGCCTGGTCCCTCCAGCCCCGGGCTTGCACAGAACCTGCAGCGGGGAGCAGTTCGGGTGGACCGGCAGCGGTGAGCCTTCCAGACAGCGGTGCCCGTCGCGGGGGGCTGGGCGGGGCTGCCGGGTGTGCCTCTTCCCGCCTGTGCCCCTCACCCTGTCTCTGGCGTCGGGGCCAAGTGTAGCCCTGTGTCTGGCTGTCGAGTCTCTGCCGCGCGGCATGTGTGCCTGGTGTCCGTTGTGGCTGGCCTCACCGTCTGGAGTACTTGCTCGAGAATGCAGCCTGCGTCCCTGGGTGGTCCAAGCATCGGGGCCTCCACTGGCCACGCCCGATGCGGACACGTGCCCCTCCCGTGAGCCAGGGCAATCCGCTTCATTGCTCTGAGCTCCGGGGTCCCCCCAGGGCTGCCTCAGCGCCTTGGTGAGCGCATCGTAGAGACGGATGAGCTAATGTCTGCAAGGCGATTTGGAAAAGGAACTGAGTCCTTAGAATGTCGAGCCAGGCTTCCCTGACACGGGTTCAGATCTACAAACCCAGCCGGTGTGCAGTGAGTGGGGACTCCATGAAGCAGGGGAGGGGCAGGGGGGAGGGCCCACCTGTGACTGCAGGACTGTGGACAGCGTCCCGTGAGCTCCGTGGAGCTCTCCGTTGTGTGTGGTGGTAACAAGCTCGGGGCTACCCTCATTATGGTCGTTACGTGTTGATCTTGGCCGGATCTGATCTGGAATCCCAGCACTTGGGGAGGCCTAGGCAGAAGGGTTGCCTGAGCCCAGGAGTTCGCCATCAGCCTGGGCAACATAGCAAGACCTCATCTCTACAAAAAAAATTTTTTTTAAACTAGCCGGGTGTGTTGTCACGCGCCTGTAGTCCCAGCTACTTGGGAGGCTGATGTGGGAGGATTGCCTGAATCCAGGAAGATGAGACTGCGGTGACCGTGAGCGTGTCACTGCACTCCAGCCTGGGCCACAGAGAGAGACACTGACTCAAAAGAAAAAGGTGCTGACCTTGACTGAGGCTTGCACAGCCAAGAGGGAGGCGTGACAGCCTTCCTCATCCCAGCTCTAGGAACTGGGTGGTTCTTGGGGCCGTTCACCCCTGCCCCGTGCCGGGCCATGTGGAGGCCGTCGCTCTTTTTCTTCCATGAACGTGAGTTCCAGTGACTAAACTCACCTGCTCAAAGCAAGACAACTTGCCAAGTCCACTGAAGCACCGAGTTGGTTGTTTTCTGGGGTTTTTGGTTTTTTTAAAAGACAGGATCTTGCTCTGTTGTCCAGGCTTGAGTACAGTGGCCAACTCAGGGGCTCAAGCAATCCTCTTGCCTCAGCCTCCTGAGTAGCTGGGACTACAGGCGTGTCATTTCCTGGCTAATTTTTACTTTTTAACTTTTGGTAGAGACAGATCTTTGCTATGTGGCCAGGGCTGGTCTCGAGAACTGACCTCAAGCAATCCCCCTGCCATGGCCTCACAAAATGCTGTTTACAGGTGTGAACACCGTGCCTGGCCCCAGTTGATTTTAAAAACCAGTTTGGGGAGATTTATTGTCTTTTCAATTTTGAGACATAATTGTCGTCTTCCCTCTCTGTGATGCAAACACCTCTATACACACAGAGATTTTTTTTTTTTTAATTATTTTTGCTATAAAAGGGATTCTCATGTGTTGGGTGAAGATGTTTTAATGACCACTCACCCATTCTGATCAATTATTTGTTTAAACTTCAAACAGCTTCCCCTGTCGAGGGAGGGGGCACCCCCTCCGCAGGCTTGTGTGTCTTCCATATTTGACCATGCCTGGATGGAGGCTTGAGGTCTCTGTCCTCCCTGTGTTTGTAAATCTGGCCCTGTAGCTAGAGGGAGGGCCGGCTGTCACGGCCAGCCGGGGTGGGAGCCCCGTCTGCTGCTCCTGCCTCGTGGTCCTTCCCGGGGCCCCTGAGGGAAAGGATAGTTGAGAATATCCGCACTTCCCCGCAGGGTGCCTTCTGCGTCTCTAAAGAAGAAGAAAAATGAACTCTAGTCTCATCTGTGATGTCTGAGCTTTGTGACTGGGAACCAGCAAACTGGTGTCAACACAGACTGTGCCATTTAAATCCGATCATGTCGAAAATTTCCCAGAGAGAGAGAGGAAGGCCAGAAAGTCTCTGGGTCTTCTCTGAACCCAGGTGCCCCTCGATGTGCTCATTGATTGACTCTCAGTGAATCTCTTGTGGCATCCTGATTTGGTTACCTGTTGACTGGGTCTTAGGGTTTGAACCTGGTTGTCTCTTCCCTACCTGTGGCCGTCCTCACTTTGCACTTCGTTCCTGGCGGGGTTGGGTGTTGGATGTGTGACGGGGAAGGTCTGAGATGGATGTGTCCCTGAGTGGTCTGCGCGTCTGCCCGTGTGGGTCTCACTGATGCTGGGTGCAGGCCCCAGCCCGTTGTCTAAGAAAGCCACCTAGGCCAGGCTTGGTGGCTCAGCCTGTCATCCCAGCCATGAACGTGCCGCTGCACTCCAGCTTGGGTGATAGAGTGAGACTCTGATTAAAAAAAAACAGAGTAGCCAGGCTCGGTGGCTCAGCCTGTCATCCCGCGCCTTGGGAGGCTGAGGTGAGTGGATTGCCTGAGCCCACGGGTTTGAGACCCGCCTGGGTCTACTTGGCGCGATCTCATCTCTACAATAAATCAAAAAAATTAGCTGGGCGTGGTAGTGCGCGCCTGTAGTTCCAGCTACTTGGAAGGCTGAGGCGGAAGGATCGCTGGAGCCCAGCAGGTCGAGGCTGCAGTGGCCGCTCCCCACTGCCCTCCAGTCTGGGCGACAGAGTGAGACTTGGACTCAAAAAAAAACAAAAACAGAAAGCAAGCCTCCAGGAGGTGGTTGTCGCTGACCGAGGCCTGCAGGCCCCATGTTTCATGTTCAGTGTCACGTTCATTCAAGCCTCCGTGTTCAGGCACAGACCCAAGAGGTAGGGAGGGTTTGGGGCTGCCCCGCCCCAGGCTAGACCTGGGGTGAGGATATGAGAGCAGGTGGTTCATGGTGGCAGTGAGACCGGGGAGCACCAGAGGGGCGCAGGGAGGTAAGGTGAGGAAGGCAGATGTCAGGGCAGGCCATTCATGAGCAGTTGATGCTGTCGGCCGAGGTGCGGGCCCTGTGGGTCCTCCAGAAGCTGCAGAGGACAAGCCCTGCCACCGTGAGGCTGTCCCGTGTCCCCCCACCTGCCCGAGCTCCTGGTTCATGCAGGCAGTGTGTGCCACTCCTTCCGTGTGCCCAGAAAGACCATTGGCAGGAATTGCAGGTGCCCATGGGGTAAGAGGAATTGCATGTGCATGGGACAGCGGGCACCGGGGGTGCAGGCGGGGCATGAGGGCGTCGTCCAATCAGGGCTTTTCCTAAACCTCACGCTAGAGGGATGGGGTGAATCCCTCTGGCGCTGGAGTACACGAAGGGAGAACCAAAACACAGGATTTACTTTTTGCAAATGGTGAATTTATTCCTATGTGCTTAGAGTGCAATCACCTTCAAAGTCCTTTTCGTGTGATGCAGTGCACCCACTGAGACACTTTTCGACAGCTCAGAACAGTTTTTGAGCTCATCTGTGTTGCCGCCTTGTAATGCTTCTGCCGCTTTTTGTTTCACCTCTTCCACATTGGCAAAGCGTTTCCCTTGGAGGACTTCTTTTCGTCTGGGAAACAAAATAACGTTGCTCCGGGGTGAATCGGGAGGGTGGGGCAGGGGTCCATGCCGTCTGGGGTCAAAACCTACCGAACATTCAGCACGGTGTGGGCGGGGGCATGCGTCAGTCCCCCATCGTGAAATGGGCAAACGCGTTGAAAGAATTTCCAGCCGGGCTCGGTGGCTCAGCCTGTCATCCTGCGCCTTGGGAGGCTGAGGCGAGTGGATGGCCTGAGCCTGCGGGTTCGAGACCCGCCTGGGCAACTTGGCGAGACCTCATCTCTACAATAAATCAAAAACGAGCCGGGCGTGGTAGTGCGCGCCTGTAGTTCCAGCTACTCGGGAGGCTGAGGCGAAAGGATCGCCGGAGCCCGGCAGGTCGAGGCTGCGGTGGCCGGGAGTGGCCACTGCCCTCCAGTCTGGGCGACCGAGCGAGACTCCAACTCGAAAAGGAAAGAAAGAAAGAATCTTCCAAACAATTCACCGAAGACATCCCGTTCCGTTTCAGCGTCCCAAAGAGCAATGCCGTCCTGGACATTCCTCGCCTGCCATGAAACAGGCAATGGGTCCTGGGGCAGCTCCTTCCCAGACTGTCTCGGCAAGCGCAGGGCGAGGTCTGTCAAGGTCGCCTGGAGACCTCGCAGATGAGAGAAGCGGCCTGGTGCCTTCTCCTGGGGGGAGGGGGATGACAGGGTCCCGGGGCTGCAGAGCCATCTCCGTGTATCAGTCAAGGCAGGGATTCTGTCTGCGAGACCCTGGAAGCAGCCAGCCCAGATATCAGCACAGCTGCCTTGTTTCTTCCAGTCTAGAGAGAAGCACGCGCCATCCTGAGGCAGGCCTCTGCTCTGTGCCACCGAAGGGGCCTCCCCTTCTCCCTAGGACCCCAAAGCAACAAGAGCTAGAGGCGCCTGGACCCATCAACTCGCTGTCCCCTCGGTGCCCACCCTCCCGTGACAGCTCTCGCTCATGTTGGGAGGCTCAGAAACATCCCAGGCCCTCTGGGTGGGCTGACCATGGAGGGTAACACCCCTCTTGTCCCTCACTACCTCCTGGATATAGACGCGGGGGTGAAAGGCCCGCAGACCCTGTGCACCCCAGCCCCCCAGTTGGAGGGAAGGACTCCCCTTTGCGGTTTAACAGGAAAACGGTGCGTGGTTGTTCAAAAAGGTAGACCCTTCCATGCATCCACCTCTGCGACTGTTACAATCCCACCCGTCCCCGGGTCCTGGCCCCTGCCTGCCAGCTGCATCTCTGCCCAATCCCTTCATCCCAGGGGCCACTCTGTCCCTGGCAGTCAGTCCCCAAGAGAGCTTGAGAGCCACCCTGTTCCTACTCCCAATCCTGACTCTCTCCGTGCCTGTGTCAAGCGTCCGAGGCCCCCAGTGCCGGGCTGTGCGTGTCCGGTTTGGGGTACAGCCAAATTTCCG